ATAAATGGTAGTGCTGTGAGAAACGATGTTGCTGCTGCAGCTGTCGTTTACTGTTGTTGTTGCCGGTGCTGTTGTTGCTGACGTTGTTGTTATTATTGTTTGTTGTTGTTGATGTTGTTCTTCCTGCATTTCCATCTGCTGCTTATTGCTGCTACTTACGATGGTAATATAGTGAATTTAGCTATGCCAATAGAGAAATTACGACGACGCCGGGAAAAACAGCAAAGAAAAAAGGGAAAAAATTGGCAACTACAGCGTTGGCTAATGATGTTGGTGGTTATGATGATGATGTTGGTGGCGGCAGTAGCGGCTAGTGTTGGCTGGCAGTGTTCTTCTACTGCTATTTCTTCTGCCACTGATGCGTAGTGTGGTGATGCTGATGGTGGTCTGCAGTGGCAATTCGATAGCTGATTGCGCATCGAAGATAGGCATGGATGTGAGGTGTATTTTGCCTGGCGGTTTAAGTGAGGGAGGGAGGGGGCTTTCAGAAAATATATTTTGGCTACGACAAACAGACAGCGGCACTTAGGCATGCGTGTATATGTGTGTGTCTGCCAATTTGTGCTGTGTATGTGTGTCCGTGTGTCCGTATGTGCGCGTCTGTTAGTGTCTACGTTTGTATGTGTGTGCGTGTATACATTGAGGGATTGCAGAATTAGCCTCTTGTGTTGGGATAATGCTTTTTTGCTTTAAATTTAGTCGTCTGGGTAGCCTTTGCTTCTGAAGGTTTTTTTTGTTGCCGCCATCACTGCAATTGCTGCTGTTGCTGTCGTTGTGGCTTTTCGGTCGATCACCCATTTCCATCACAGCGTTGCTGTTGTTGTTCTTTTTCACTATTATGTCTATTGTTCTGTACTTTTATTTAAGGCATATAGGACGTAGACTGAGAGAAGATGAAAGAGATGGAAAATCCAATATAATTCTTTCTTATTACTCTCTAAGGTGTTTTTTTTTATTTTTTATTTTATTTTTTTTTTGTGTGGGTAGACTATGTTTTTCCACTTGTGCGTTTATTTGTTTATTTAATAATTTTTAATAATTTTCTATAGTCCCAACAGTTTTTTTAGGCATTTCATGTTGAGGTCCTCCAAACTAAAAGGGCAACGGAGGTTCATTT